CACTATCAAAATAAAAAGGGAACTCATTGTATGGGAGAACATATTTGCCAATGATACATCTAATAAGGAATTAATATCCAAAATATATAAAGTAATTGTACAACTCAATAAAAGGAAGACAATCCAATTAAGAAATGGGCAGAAGACCTGATTAGACATTTTTCTAAAGAGGACATACAGATGGCCAAGAGACATGAAAAAAAAATGCTCAAAGTCATTAATCATCAGAGAAATGCAAATAAAACCACAATGAGATATCACCTCATGCCTGTCAGAATGGCTATCATAAAAAATTCAACAAATAACAAGTGCTGATGTGGAGAAAAGGGAACACTAGTTCAGTGCTTGTAGGAATGTAGATTTGTGTAGCCACTATGGAAAACAGTGTGGAGTTTGCTCAAAAAATTAAAAATGGAGCTTCTGTTTGTTCTAGTAATCCCACTTCTGGGAATATATCCTAAAAACCCTGAAACACCAATCAGAAAGAATATATGTACCTGCATGTTCATAGCAACATTAATTATAATAGCTAAGATTTGGAAACAGCCCAAGTGCCCTTCAGTAAACGAATGGATAAAAAAGCTGTGGGACATTTGCACTATGGAATACTATGCAGCTGTAAAAAAGAGGGGTTTCTCACCCTTTAGGACAGCATGAATGGGCTGGAAAATAGTATGCTAAGTGAAATAAACTAAATTGAGAAAGACAAATATCACATGATCTCACTTACTTGTGGAATCTAATGAACAAAATGACCAACACAATAAGACCTGAAGCATGGAGGCATGGAACAGACTGAAATACCTTGATGTGGGGTTGGGAGGATGAGAAGAGAGAAAGCAAAGAACTTATATGCATAGCCCATGGACATGACCAATAGGGTAGTGAGGATCTGAGGGTTGGTAGGGGCTGGGAGGATGGGGGAAACGGGGGAAATGGGATTTATCTATAATACTATCAATAATGAAAAATATATTTTTAAAAAATGGCTCTCAAAAAAACATGTTCAGGAGAAACCAACATGCTTCAGTGAAGATCCACTGATGAATAATAAGGGAGGAAAATCATTCTTTGGAAATACTACTTTTTTGCCCATATTCTTAAACTTAAAGGAATAAATTTTCTTAAACTTAAAATGATGAAAAAGAAAACTTAACAACCTTAACAAGAAAATCAAACGTCACACCAACAAAACAACAACAAAACCCAATACTAACTTCCATTTACTGATAGGTTAAAGATACAAGCAGTTGGCCAAAGTTTACTGATCTTTTTTTGTTCATTTAAATTTGGGTAGAAATAATTATGAAATAAAATGTACAAACTTTAATATTCTATTAACTGACTGATAAGAATAGAAATGAACATATTATCAAGAAAGAAAATAGTACATGTTTGTATGAAAGGAAGTTTTTGCACTTAACTTATGAAAAATGATTTCAAAGCTTATTTCAGGCTGAAAAGTAGAACTATCAACATTCTGGTAAATTTTACTAATTTAGATGAAGCTGTAGTAACATATATATTATGTTAGTAATCACATTAAGCTTGCTTATCTATAAAAAATACTCAATGAAACAAGGCCCAATGAGATATAACGTTACTGACTCAGTTTCAAAGCACAAGGAACTCAATGATACGAGCAGAATATGGAATTGTGAATGATCTGAAACTGGTTATTAAACACTAGCAGGAGCAAAGGCACTAAAAAAAAAAAAAGATCCTAAGGTAGAAATTCTGCAAGTAAAATCAACATATATTCAACTGTTTTTATAGTGATGGTTCAGATGAAGTTTTGTGCATCTTCATTTTAAATAATATTTAGTTTTAGTTTCTGTTTACAATGTAATAGGAAATATTATATAAAATTTGAAAAATACTCAAAAACATAAAAAGAAAATAAAAAATCATTATTTGTATTATTTAGAAATAACATTTGCTATCTATCTTCCTGGTATTTTAAAATACTTTTATAATATGTGTGTGTGTGTGTGTGTGTGTGTGTGTGTGAGAGAGAGAGAGAGAGAGAGAGAGAGAGAGAGAGAGAGAGAGAGAGAGAGAGAGAGAGAGAGAGAGAGAGAGAGAGAGAGAGAGAGAGAGAGAGAGAGAGAGAGAGAGAGAGATCCTCACCACCGCCCCCAACTTTTTTTTTAAGTTAGGAAAATGTCATACTTTTTCAGGTCATCAATAGATTTCAAAAACTAGATTTATTCTTTGGACTTTGCCCAAAGTCTGGTCATTTCCCAAATATCTAGTATAATATATTTGATTTCAAATGTCATTAAGCTGTCTCTCACCGAGATAATACAGTTAAGAGATCACTGTTCTTCAAGCAGTCAGACAAGTTATCCACGGCAGCTTCCAAAGTCAGGAGTGCTTCCATTACGTAACCCTGCCAAAGATGCAGAGACAACATTTTGACAGCTTATAACTGCTGTTAACTTCTTGGACATAAATTTAATGAATGCAAACTTTATTAAAGTAATTTTAATATCATTAAACATTATATAGTTATTATTACTTTAATTTACAAAGTTTAAAACAAATTTTAAGGGCCACTGAGGAATTCAGCTGGTCCAGGAGTTAGCAGATAATTGTAAAGATTTATTTTCCTAGGTCTGAGCTCCTCCACAGAGCAATCTCATTTGAAATCTAACAGGGAGGGGATAAGGTTGAAGGTATCAGACACATGGAGGGCATTTGAAATATAGAGTTGCAATGTCTGAAGGCAGAGACTAAGAGATGTATGCAATGGCTGTGCCTCAGTGGCATTTTAAACAGCTCATCTCATGGCCAGGAGGAGGAAAATAAACTAGGGTCTATAGATGTGCAGGCCTCCTTAGATGTAGGAAAATTTCTGATGGAAAAGAAGGCGTGGCCCAAGTTACAGAGCAGGTAATGCTCTTACTTTCAACCTGCCCAGGCCCCGATCTCTGGGCTCTAGAGGGTCTTCTTGTGGCATCTACTCTCTCCATTACTTCTTCAGCTCTTCCAGTTTACTGAAGGCTGATCATGCAGAGAAAGGTAGTGCTTTACACAGATACAACAGAGATCTCCTCTAGGTGGGGGGATTGGACAACTATGTCCTATGTTAGTGAAAAAATGACAAAACAACACATATGATTTTCCTGTCCTCTACCAAATAAAACAAATAATAAAACAACAAAGAAGAGTCACCAAAGAATGTGCAGTTGTTAGCTTGAATAAACAGATAAAATATGTGGAGTTTCTAGAACAACACTTCAGGGAATGACTTTTGTAAATATAAAAGCCAACCTCTAAAATTTGAATTGTACATGTCCAAAGTGCTGGAATAATTGGCAAGAGAGACAAGGCAAGGTTTTGAGAAAGTCGTTAGCTCCTTCTCTTTAAAATGAGAGAAACAGGATGTGTTTGGTAGTCTTTCCTTCCCTACCTGAATCTCATCGCCATGTTCTCCAATCACCTCCACCAGTCTGGAGAGAAGGTCAGACAAGGCATGCGCTGACAGAGGTTGTTTGATTGCCCGGAATATCTGGAAGGACCGACAGGCATAGTGCCTTGAAGAACTTGCCAGGGCTGTCTGCAATGCCACCTCACTCAAGTGTTGCTCCAGACGGAAGCCTAGGGCACCAAGAGGCCAGAGACCAGATCAGCCATCACTCTGCAAAGTCTGGGGCAACAGTAGTTTTCTGAAGGTTTGAAACAGGTTCACTGCACAGGGCTATGACCTGGTGTTACTTATTTAAAAATTAACAATTAAAAAAACAAACACATAAATTTTAATAAATCAGAAAGAAACTTATTCTCTATTGCCTATTTCCTTATCTTTAACTTATGAATAAAAGCATCTATCTCATAGAAGTTTTATGGAAATTAAACAACTTTAAAAGTGCTTAGTACAGTATGTGATACATACGTGTTCACAAGTATATTGCTATTTATAACCCTGCTATTTTTTCACATTATTGTTCTGTACTACTTTTTACATCAGATATTTTTACTCCTTTTTTTTAATAAGACAATTTGTTAGAAACAAATGTTCTGAGTACTTAGGTATGTAGAGGAAGCTATTAGTGAATCTAGTCAAGTCTAAACACAACTGAGGCCTGGGCCCAAGTCTTTGCTCCTCAGCATGGTCTGTAAGCACTCAGATATAGAAATGTGGACACTGCAGAGAAGGCAGCTATAGTGAACCTCCACCAGGATATGTGTTCTTTCAATAACATGGAGGGAATCTTAGTCATCAGAAAACCATTTGACCAGATGGAAATTAAAATGTGAGGAAAAGCTCATAATTAATGTCAGAGCTATTACATTGTACAAGGGCCCTGCCTCTCTGCAGGGAGAAAACCAGGCTCCAAGAGTTAGAGCACATGATGTAAACAGTGATTTTAGCTGTTTCATGACCTGGAGAGCTCTGTGGCACATTTGATGGTGACGTGAAAGTGGAACAGGGGTGGTAATTCAGTGTTATTCTTCTTAGTTTCACTTGGCTGCTTGAACCCAGGGACATGTTGACAATATAAAAGAAATGTTCCTGCAAAGTAAATGAAGGGTCCTGGGAAGTGGACTCAAGCAAATCCAGGGTCGGAAATGCAGGGTTAAACCCAGAGGCACGTCACAACATATGAATGGGTCATGTTTAAAAATTGTTCTTTGTCTTTGTTTTTGAAATATGTTTTTTTACTTAAACCATTTTATAGACAGGCTAGCTCCCTGGCAGTGAACAGAATCTTATTTAAATTATCATGAGCTGAAAACTAAACACAAGTTCTCTCTTAGGAGGACTGCAGACTCCACTACCCATATGACAATGGCTTTTAAGAAAACCTATTTAATGTGTGGGATCTCCCCGGTCACACATGGATCTACATCTTCCAGCCTTCCTTGCAGTTAGGTGTGACCTTGTACCTGAGTTCTAGCCAGTGGGTTGTGGGAAGAAGCACTGGACTGGAGTGTGAACTCCTCTGCTTAATCCCTCACTCTCTCTTCCTCTTCAGGTAGCAGAGCCACAGGCTGGAGAGTCTCTGACCACCAGGTGGAAGGCTTCCTGCCCACCATCCACACTGAATTGTTATGTGACTCAGACATAACCGATTGTGTTAAGTGTTTGAGCTCTGGGAGGTGTTTGTTTCAGCAGCTATGCTACCCTGACTAACACAAATGTTTCCAGGAATACATTTTATTGTGCTATAGCAGAAATAGGCAGCGATGTAGAAGGAAATTTTAGTGGGTAAGGATTATGTTGGGTAAGGTATGAAAATACACCTGCCAAGAATAAAGTGCAAGGCATTCATATGTTTTCTCATTTTTATTAACATCATACAGTTAAGGGTTTTAGACAAATAGATCACATACAACAGTGAATTTCTTCCTTTGTACTATGTGCAATTTAAAGTAACCTTTAAATGAGGAAAATACCAAGAGAAGAGGTCTTCATATTTCAAAGAAATTCCAAAGGGGAAACTCAAGACTGGAAGCCAAGTCGTCCTATTCCTGTAATGACTTTCTATGTATTATTATTTTTGCTTTTTAAAATAAGTATCCCCTGATAACAAAAAGAAATATGGCTAATCTGGAATGTGTCAAATTGTGACACGTGCTAATTATCAGAGTAGCCAGTGAGCCATGGTTAATGTGTTCAGCCAGGTATGTGACAGAGATAGGAACAGTTGTTTCACTGAGCTGAAAGACCACATTTAAATTTCACACACTGATCAGCCCAGGCCAACTCGAATTCAAATGGAATTTAGCTAATGGCTTCAATATGATGCTCTTATTGAAGAGCAAATCCAGTGTGATTGTTAGTTAGATGCTCTTATAGTCTAACAATCACACTGGATTTAGAATATTCAATTAAATTGTTAGCAACTATTTTTAAAGTAAAAAACATTTTATCACAAAATTCTTTTTTTAAAAACAGTTTGAAGGTTGACAACTTCTCACAGTTGAGTCCATGCCAAATAAATTAATAAGAATTATTTCTCATGGCCTTCTTTAAATAAAATTAATATTGTGGGCATAGTTAATTCTAGTGAGGGAATGATGTGAGGAGAACGGTGACTTTGAGGATGTTATTTGATAGAGTATAATGCAAGTATACATGACAGTATCAGTCAGGCACATCTGGAATAAATTTCAAAACTCCCCTATGAATAGTCTTCTGCTATAGATGCCAAATTCAGAAATATATACAATATATATCATTCATATCATATATCGTAACTATAGTGCGATATATGTATATAGTATAAATTCTGATATATACTATATATGATATATAGTGTAGTCATATGGGTGAAGAATGAGCTCAATTATAAAAAAAATCCTGAAAGTAGAATGGAGTTGGGGAAACAGGAGGAAGTACCTGATTTAGAATCTTTAAATACGGACAAAACGTGCCGTAGAAAATTTGTGAGTTGTTCAGCACTCTTTGAATTCTGATTTTTGGGTGTGATGTCTTCATGGCACCAAAGTGGACCGAATGCCCTGAAACAAAGCACACACAGTGTCAAAAATATAACTGTCACTTTGCATTTTGAAAACCATCTATGCAGTTCTAATTCCAAAGGCACAATATATATGTTTAAAATTTCACTAATTTGGGGGAGAATTTCAGGCTTATAAAGTTTATGAGCATACTCAAACAGATCTGGCTAATTTATAGAAACACTTTTTAAAATATTTTACTCACAAAACGAAAACCTCACAACATTTAAACACAAAACAAAAACCTTTCAATTCGCCAGAACAGTGTTTGTCACATGATAGATGTTCCATGGGTGTTTGTTAAATAAAATGACATATACAATGGTAAATACAATATAGATGTAGACACAGCCTCAGTTGCACATTCAGCATTTGGGAAGATAATGCTTTTATCAGGATCACATCATTAGGTTGCTGAATACTGTGGAACCTGCCGCGACCTGTACGGCGAGGTTCAGGATCTGCAGGAGAGGCCGATGCACAAATGAAAATGCTTGACAAAAATATGAATTATTAAGGGGTGGGAGACAGGTGGAGCCTCTTTCTTGAAGAGACACCCAGAGTCCTGGCCTTGTTTGCTTTTTATTCAGTTTTAGATACACATCTTGCCCTCAGTAAAGCACGGCAAGCACGTAGCAGACAGACAGCCTCAAAGGTCAGTAAAGGTCAGTAAGGTCCAGTAAACATTTACTTGGAGGCTATCAGGTCAGGAGATTGCTTGGAGCCACCGCTATCTCAACATGAACAATAGGTGCCTAGCATCAGCCCTGCTAACGCTCAAGATCCACCCGCTTCTGAGTTCCTTGGTGCACGCTCATGACAGTGTTGGCAAGCGGTGGCTTCCCGCATCACCGAATTGAAGATACAGTCTCTGTTGTTTACTTGTTTTTTGGTAGTAAGAATAGGATGGAGCCAGAGGTGAGAATTTTGGAGAACACCCTTCCCAACACATGGCATTGACAATGGTGAGAGAAGACAACAAAGCATTCAGGTGTCTGAAGTACCTCGTGTGTGGGCACCATCAGCCCTTTCCTGTTCCCTGAACATTAAATCCCACATGGAGCTGATAGCTAGCTATGCAGAATGCCCCGAACCACTAACAAAGGAAAGAAAATGCTCTATTTTTCATTATTTGGTGCATTAGTTAAAGAAAGAAAAATAATGGGAAATATCAGATAACACAAATTGAGACTAGACTCCCAACACAAGAGTACGCCCACGTCACACGTGAGCATGCTTTTATACAAATGCAGGACATTGGGGTAGTAGAAACTCTGAAATGAAATTGTTCATTAGAAGAACCAGAAGACCTAAAAATGTGGATTACGCCCACTTTTTCTTGATTTTGATATATTATTTGTTTGGTTCCTTTCCTATCATGTTTCCTACTGTTTCTGGTTTCTGACTTCCATTTATAAATGACTCTTTGGACTGGATGAGCAGACCCTGGATCCTTCTGCAGCTGCTTCTGGGTCAACTGTGGCTGATACCTTTGGCTTCCACAGTGAGGTTATTTGCCAAGTTTCAGGGCTCCCAGATCCTGGCAGCTCTAATAGATGAACAAAATCATGCTCACCGAGGGGCGCTACCATATCCTGACACCATCTGCTGCACTGTCATTATACAAAAACTACCTCTCCCCCAAAATGTTGACATCAGAGGGATCTTAGACACCTTCTACCAGTGTCTGCTTTATACTCAGACTCCAGCAAGTGCAATTTAGAGGAGAAAACAAGGACTTTGCTAGGGCTCTGGGCTTACTTTTCCATCTGAGTGGTTTTGAAGGATGGCACTGTCTAAAAAAACTCACCTGAAAACAGCCGCTTGTCTCCTTGCCCTCCTTACCTGGTTGTCAGGAACTCAATGAGCTTGTTGGCCTTCTCATCTGTTTCAACAGTGGTGTCTACGTCTTCTACCTCTTGGGACATCTGTGGGAGGTTCCCGCTGCTGCCTCCCAGACTGATGCTGGAAGAGGTGGAACTGGAGCTCAGCCCCGAGTCTGGCACTGGTGATGACTGGTCCTCCCTCAGGAAGTCAAAGCCACCTGGTTGAGAAGAAGGTCACGGGGAGTTGTGCTGGGCAGGACATATAATGAGGTCAGGAGGTGAGCATACAGAAGTATGCAGTTATCTCTCTTCTTTTTTTGAGAAAACATTTTATTTTGGCTATAGCTATGATTAAAGAGACATATATTCTTTCCTTACTTATGGAATAGTTACACTTCTGTATAAATCAAAGTGCATTTAGTAATAGGAGAATAGAAAATTTCTATTTAATAAATAAATTTCTACTATGGGGTTTTAATTTATGCTTTCTGAAAAAGAAGTTGTGTGTTTGTGTTCCACTATACATCTGTACCTAACTGCTGTTAATAAGTTATGCCTGGATACTAGACTGATACAATGATATAATTTTTGAGGATACCAGTTATTTAAGGGATTATGAGTAAGTTATACATCTTCTTTTTGAGTAAATGTGCCTAGAATCACAAATATTTAGTGTATGTTAGTTGTTTTAACAAAATATATATCATATTAGTCAAAGCCATATGGTATAAGAAAATACTAGTGATTTTTCCCCCACTTTGTATTTGGCTAACATTCTACATCTCTAAATGTGTTGTGGGTTTGAAAACTTACACACATTTCCCTCTACTTAAAAATCATAAAAAGTACATAGTTCTGGTGTGTCTGACAAAAATATTGAATTAGGAGTGAGGAGCCTGGGTCTGAATATCATCTCTGCCATTTACTTTAAAATCTCAGGAAGTTGATATGATTTCTCTGTACCTCAGTTTTGTATTATGATAAGATAAAGACAATTTCTATCACAAGTTCTTAGTGTGGGTTTGAAAACAACTGCAGTTGAAACAAGGTGTTCAATAAATATTTATGAAAAGGAGACTCCTCCCAAACCTTTTGTGCACCTACCTAATTTAAGTGTGCTACAGATTCAATCATTCCAATTATCTATTGTTTGTCTTGTCCATGGATTCTGTGTTTTGTTTTGTAAATCTCCACTCTCAACCATTTAAGCTGCATCAGTGGGATAGTGGATATAAAACCGCCAACTCAGAGATGCACAACTTAACAGATGTTACAATTTTCTCAGCCTAAAATAATGTGCTTAATGGAAAACATCTTTATCCTGGGGCGTTAGAACAGCCAGAATGTTTCATATTCTTTAAATTAAGCATCTAAAGAAAAGAGAATTTTCTAAAAATGTCTCTGAAAGGCTGCTGAATTATTTTCAATTAAGTGTAGTGTGTTCAATATAAAGACTTTATAATAAAATATAATAATAATATGGAAAATATATTTGAAAGTATTCAATGATGAACAGGTCAGTGGTCCTTCTACCTCAGAGTTAATGATTTCATATTAGTTTTCCAAAGACATATGTTAACATATCTCAGAAGACAAGGCAGTGCTGAATACCAGTGATGAATGAAAGGTCTAATTTCAAGATTATGAAGAAAGTACATAGTAACATCGTATGAAATGCCATACCATGTCCAATGTGAGTGTAATGTACAAAATAATTAGATAAGAAGGTAGCCCAAGAACTCTGTTAGTTCATCATCATTTTAAGATATTTAAAATATTCTGGTCTAAATAAAAACTCTTGGTTAATCCTTTTGGGAAAGTTTTCATGAACAGCTGGATATAACAGAGTAATTTTATTTTTTTGATTCAGCTAATGCTTTCTGTTCTCATTTCTAAGAAGAAATATTTGGTTTCAAAACAGCAGTGGTTTTTAATAGACTTTCACTCATTCATGCTTTCCAGAAAAGTCAGTCATTTAATAAAGTGACTTTTCCTTCAGAGAAACTAGAAGGAATATAGTAATTATCTGGCACCTTGGCAATGACCCATTCGCAAGGTGATGGAGAAGGTCACCATTTCCTGTGTTCTCATCCTTCAGGGTTTTAGACAAAAGCTCTTGTTCAATGGACATTTTAATGTTCAATTTATTGACAGAAACATATTTAATGAAAGCAGAAACATAATAATAAGGAAAAAATACATGAAAATAATAACAAAGAAGGATTTTGGGAGGCATGTTGACATCCAGTGAAATAGGGCCTATTTATTGAGCTGTTATTTTATTACTTGGAAAGGTGGGGGGTAAGAGCATTAGAGTATAGAAAAATGGGCTCCACTGACACCTTTGGTAATCTCTGAATTTGTGACTGTCTCAGGCTTTCAGTCACACCTCCTTTTGTTACCTGTGTAGAGATACTCAGGTTGATAAGCTGGCTGGACTGTTAGAGTCTTAGTTTCCCCCATTTCTCGAGTCTGCAGGAGCACAGAGGCGATGGCATGGAAATTGCTGTTGCAGGACAGTGCAATCAAGAGATGAAGAAGCAAATTTTTGCTGTGTTCGAAGACTTCAGGCCGGTAATGGTCCAATCCTGGAAAAAAATGTGATGTGGAATCTTTTAGTAAAAACAATTTTTAATCTCATTTAGATTCCAGGCATAGTAAAGATTCCCTAACACCAGGGGAAGGGAAATCTTAAAAGAATGTTTAGCTTTCTTTGTTACTGTTTATGGTACCAACATAAAGAATTTGGGCTTAGGGAAAAATAAAACATTTTATTCCTTAAATCAAATATTCTCATAAAATGATGATAGATAGATTTCCCTTGACCTCTTGAGATAGTTAGCATTCCTCCTTCTTGAGGCTCTCCATAACTGAACTCCCTGCCTGGTTGTTCCTCCTCCCATTTTTGCTCTACAACTTGGGTTACAATCTCAGTGCGTGGCCTGCTGCAGTCTATATTCTTTCTCTCTATGCACTACCGTATTTGCCGGCGTATAAGACGATTTTTTGGCCCTGAAAAATATGCCTCCAAGTGGGGGGTCGTCTCCTACGCCAGGTACACTTCAGATAGACTGCCCATAGTGCTTGCCCCGTGCCATAGTGGCCTCCCGATGCCCGCCCACTTCATTCCACATACCGTTCAGGCATCAGCAGCGCTGCTGGGTGTATGCTCGGCTGTTATGCGATTTTCCTCCTCCCATTTTTGCTCTACAACTTGGGTTACAATCTCAGTGCGTGGCCTGCTGCAGTCTATATTCTTTCTCTCTATGCACTAATTATGTCTAATGGCTTTAAATTTATCACATCTAGCCTGGCCAGCATGGCTCAGTGGTTGAGCATCGACCTAAGAACCAGGAGGTCAGGGTTCGATTCCTGGTGAGGTCACATGCCCGGGTTGTGGGCGTGATCCCCAGTGTGGGGCATGCAGGAGGCAGCTGATCAATGATTCTCTCTCATCATTGATGTTCCTATTTATCTCTCCCTCTCCCTTCCTCTCAGAAATCAATAAAAATATATTTAAAAAAATTTATCACATCTAGACAAAGACCCTCAAAGAGGGCCAATTTGTTTTAGATATTTTCATAGGTATAACATGAGTGAGGTGCCACATAACTTATATTGGAGTCATAGGACCATTTTAAACAATGCCTGATCAACTGAATTTTAGAGCAGGAAAGCAGATGTCTATGTAAATAAAAGCTCTCTGAATTATCTCCACAGAGTTTAGATGTATTGGCTAGAATTCCTCTTGGATCCAGTCTTACCTAAGAAGACAGCATGAAGTAATAACGGCAGGTGAAGAGCCCAGTCTTCTCTTACACTGTGATCTACCACCATCTCAGTCATAAAAATCACAGCAATATTGCACCTAATCAATGAAATGACAAAGTTAATGCAACTTCTACAGAGAATGGGAATACATGTATAGATCATTAAGTCACAATTAAATACAACACATACTAGTAAGCTTTGCTGAAGAACTATGTAAGAACCTTCTTCCAGGGAAGTGGAGTTTAACTTCTGAAAATGCACAGAGCTCCATAAGAATAAACATCAGTTGAGCTAATTATACAACATACTTGTTACTAGGTAATAAGAGCTGAGTCATGATGAGAAACAAAAGACAAGAGTCCTCTCTTCAACTTGCTTACAATCTAAAATGCACAAAAAATGAAGACCTATATCAAGTAAGTATGACATGGCAGCTTTGCACATTGGTTAACATTTGACCAAACTCTACCAATGTGCTGAGAGCTACAATTCAAGTCATGCAGGGTCCCTCTGATTTCAAAGTTTATTTCATTTGATGGGACCTGGAACACGTTTCCCTCTTCTTCTAGGGAGAAAAGTCCAGTCAAAACTAAGCGGTCATTTCTCTCTATGTGTACATGCTGCTCACCTGTGGAGTGGTCCCCTAGGGGTGATGGTTTCTGGGAGGTAGTCAACCAGGGGGGCCCAGCATCCCCCAGTAGAAGGCATTGGTAAGGGCTGTGGCTGTTTGGTCTCTGTGATAGTTAACAGCCATCCCAGGTAGGGAGATATTGGGTCATCTGTAGGGTGAGAAAGACAACGTGCTTTATTTTTAGGAAGATAATTTTGTTTTCTCTACTTAGTGTTTCTAGAAAGAATATTACCAATTCATGATTGTAAAAATAACTTTGTAAGCATTCAATTAGGTGAGTGTGAATTATACAATCAAATAAGTTAGAATTACTTAAATAGGTTTCTTTCATCACATTTTTATTATTTAATATATCACATTTATCCTGAGTACAGTTTTCAGAATAGTTTCACATTGAATGTTTTTTTTTCTTTTCGTAAGGCTATTTGACTTCATGGTAAGAGTGGGTTGTGTGGGACCAGCTTTGCTGGTTTTGACCTGCTGGTCTTTCATTTAATAGTGTTGATATAAGCTTCTAGGCCCAAGATGGAACAGCTCCTGCCCAGGGTGCCATGTCAGCAAACCAAAACTTAGATAACTTTTATGTCCCTGTAAATGCATTGCTTGACCAGAAAAGCAGCATGCCCAGTAAGCCAGTATCCAGACGCCATGCCAACTCTGGGCTCTATACTGATTTTCTTGTTCTTTATTCTTTTTCTTTTTTTTTAAAGCTTTTTAAATTGATTTTTAAAAAATATTTCAAGAAAAAAAAGATTTTAAATATAATAATATTACCCAAACAGTACTAACATAATATAATATCACAAAAGTTATAGGAAATATTAAAAATCTGCAAATAACAGGATTACTTGTATTATATTCTAAAATATTTTTTCCCCTCTGGCTCTATTTTTGTTAATCAGTTTATGTTGCTCTTTATATTCCACAAATGAGTGAGATCATGTGGTATTTATCTTTCTCTGACTGGCTTATTTTGATTAGCATAATGCTCTCCAGGTCAATCTATGCTGTTGCAAATGGTAAGAGTTCCTTCTTTTTACAGCAGCGTAGAATTCCATTGTGTAGATGTACCATAGTTTTTAATCCATTCATCAGCTGATGGACACTTAGGCTGTTTCCAAACTTAGCTATTGTAAATTGTGCTGCTATGAACACAGGGGTGCATATTTCCTTTCTGATTGGTGTTTCTGATTCTTGGTACATATTCCTAGAAGTGGGACTACTGGGTCAAATGGGAGTTCCATTTTTAGTTTTTTGAGGAAACTCCATACAGTTTTCCACAGTGGCTACAACAGTCTGCATTCCCACCAGCAGTACATGAGGGTTCCTTTTTCTCTGAATCCTTGCCAGCACTTGGTGTTTTTTGATGATAGTCATCCTGACAGGTATGAGATGGTACCTCACTGTCATTTTGATTTGCATCTCTCAGATGATTAGTGACTTTGAGCATGTTTACAAAGTCTCTTGGCCTTCTGTCTGTCCACTTTTGAAAAGTGCCTATTTGGTCCTTTGCCCATTTTTTGATTGGATCGTTTATCTTCCTTTTGTTAAGTTGTATGAGTTCCCTGTAACGTTTGAGATAACTTATCAGAGATAACTTTGGCAAAAGGGTTCTCCCATGCAGTGGGCTTTCTTGTTGTTTTGTTGATGGTTTCTTTTGCTACGCAGAAGGTTTTTATTTTGATGTAGTCCCATTTGTTTATTTTCTCCTTAGTTTCCATTGCCCTAGGAGCTGTATCGGTAAATATATTGCTATTACATATGCCTGCTATTTTGCTGCCTATGGATTCTTCTAAGATTTTTATGGTTTCCATCTTATGTTTAAGTCCTTTAGCCATTTTGAGTTTATTTTTGTATATGGTATAAGTTGGTGGTCTAGTTTCATCTTTTTGCATGTGTTTGTACAGTTTGTCTTCTGAGCTCTATCCCTGGGTCCCCAGTCTGGGCTTCTGCTCTCACAGCTCCAGTCCACTTCACCCTCCCTCTGCCAGAGCACAAGGTGGGTAACTACACAGGGAATACTGTGCATTGGCCCTTTAATATAGAGGGCCCTAATTTTTCAGCTGTCACTTCCTGGCAGACAGCACCCCACTGCTTTTCACAGCCAGATGTTATGTGGGTATCCTACTCAATTTTGGTGCTCTCTGCTGGAGTGCCCAGCTTTGGGATTAGATCCCAGAGTTCTCAATGGCAACCCCTATAGCCGAGATATCTCTGCAGGACTTCAGTTGCTGTCTGTGGGCACCTGGCCAGCCCTTTCTTGCCTTCGCCCATCCTACCAGACTCTATGTGGTCTCCACTTTTGGTCTTTGAGTTATCAGGGTTCTTTCCTGTGAGTTTTCTGTTGATTATTTAGGAAGTTTTTCTGTATTTTAGTTGTAATTCCAGTTTGTTCCTAGGAGCATATCCGTGCAGCATCCACTTACTCTGCCACCATTATTAATCCTTCTGCTTATTCCAGTTCAGAGTCATGGGCAGCACAGCCTTGTCCTGGCAGCTCAGGCTGCAAGGTGGGAACCCATGCTGGACAGGATGTCTTTTCACTGCTGGGCACACTCACACCCACCCATCACTTTATTTTTGAATGCTTAATTTATAGAGCCATAGAAAATACAGATATATACACTAAAAAAACCCATTAAATCATATGAATTCCCACTACTGTGAAACTTGTTCTTTCTCTAATCTCCCCCATCTCAATAAAATGCAGTCCATATTTCCAGTTTTCTCAGGACAGGAGCCTTAGGTTATTCCTGATTCCTCTCTCATAGCTCATATCCAACTCAATTATGATGATAATGATGATGATGATGATGATGATTTAAATAGTGACATTAAAATTAACATAGAGAGTACTTACTTTATGACAGGCACTGGTCTACACACTTCCCATATTAGTAGCCCAATAATAGGTACCTATCATCACTATTTTATAAAGGGGAAACTGAGGTTAAGTGACTTGCCACCCTCTACATATTCAATGAGCTCTACCTTCAAAAAGTATCCACATAGTATCACTTTCCACCATCACTATCACTAACCCCTTAGTCTAAGCCAGCACCTTCTCTCACATGGGCTAGTGCAATAGCCTCCTTACTGTTTCCCAACTACACCCTTTCCCTTTTTATAGTCTTATGTTCCACAGAGAAGCCAGAACCATTTTACCTTTTATTTTACTTAATTTTGGTATAATTTACCAGAGCAGTCTTTTTATTTATTCATTTTTTAAAATTTTCAGTCAAATTCGATTTTTTTTTAAAGGCAGTAGATCATTTCAATTCAAGAACCTAATCTAAATATTACTTGACAATGAAGCACATCTGAGTATGGAGTGAAAACAGTTTTCAAAAAAAATCATTAAATGTATCCTCTTCAAATATCCAAATAATAAATCACTTCTGCAGGCCTTTTGCTAAGTGGAATCATAAACAAAAAATCAGAAGATTTATGTATTGCTGGGAAAAAAATCTGTAGTACAGTACTATGAATGTTGGGTATTAAGCATAATAGGTTAAATTAAGTTAAGAAGTTGAAAATATAATAAATTTGTGTGTGCATGAAAGTCTATAAGCCAATTGACTCAAGAACAACTGAAATTCTGATTTGTTCAGTGAGACCAGACATTATTTAACATTTTTCTTTTTGGAAGGCAATTAAAAATTATAATCTTATGACCACAAGACAAATTTTAAAAATTGTAAAAAGCAGTTAAAACTACATTCAAAGAACCATTTTTGTCCAGCGCAATTTTTGCACTCCATGGTAAAATAAAAAGCATCCATTATCATCACAGATGAAAGCAAAATGAATGTCATTGAAATAAGTTCTTTTACCCACTGAAGTATAAAATCTATATAGAAATTTGATACTGTACTATAACAAATTATACTTCTTACAGTTGTTTTTATTTATTTTAAAACCTGTTTAACATAGTTTTTAGTTTTAAAAATGCTGTTTTCATGATTCTGAAACTGATTCCAGTTCTTTTCATATATATATTTATATATATATATGAATATTTAATATAATATGCTGGCTACCAATTCTAATCAGAAAAATATCTTGGAAATCTCTTCATTATGACAGCATGCTCAACAAAAATGACTGATGTTCAAGCAAACCCTAAGGGGTACAGCTTTCTGGAAAGCACATTTATTGACTGTTTCATTGTCTGAGTATCCTTTACAATGATTCTTTTTTTAAAAAAAAATCCTCTGAGGTTTTTTAAAATTGATTTTTTAGACAGAGTGGAAGGGAGGGAGAAGGGAGGGTAAAATAAAGACAGAGAAGGGGACAGAGAGAAACAATGAACATGAGAGAGACACATCGATTGGTTGGCTCCCACATACATGCTCTAACTTGGGACTGGGATTGAACCTGCACTGAGGTATGTGTCCTTAACAGGGAATCAAACTCACAACCCCGGGCTGACACTCTAACTACTGAGCAAACCCAGCCAGGCAGTAGTGATTCTTGATGAAGAATATTTCAATCTTATAAACATCAGTATGCATGGTCTGGCTACTGTAATTGTGCATCCTTGGACAGGAAGGGTGGTTCATAGCAAGTGAGAAGCCAGAGGAGTCTAAATTCTTTAAAATATATTTTTATTGATTTCAGAGAGGAAAGGAGAAGGAGAAGAGATAGACACATAAATGATGAGAGAGAATCATTGATCAACTGCCTCCTACACACTCCCTACTGGGGATTGAGCCAAGGTTTGTGCCCTGACCGAGAATTGAACCAGGACTTCTTGGTTTATAGGTTGATGCTCAACCACTGACACATAATGGCTGGGAAAGAATCTAAGTTTTTTTTCTTACTTTCTCCACATGAACAGGCCTATAATTCAATGGAACAGAACAGAGAACCCAGAAATTGACCCAAGCCATTATGCTCAAATAATATTTGACAAAGGAGGCAAGAACTTACAATGGAGTAAGGACAGTTTCTTCAATAAATGGTATTGAGAAAATTGGACAGGTACTTGCAAAAAAATGAAACTAGACCAACAACTCCATCATACACAAAAATAAATTCAAAATGAATAAGAGACTTAAATGTAAGATGGGAAACCATAAAAATCTTAGAATAAACCATAGGCAGCAAAATCTCAGACATCTCTTGTAATAACATGTTTACTGATAC